AAGGTATGGAAAATAATTAAGAGATTTCAAAGAAAGAGACAAGATAAATTTAACGAAATTGACACTCTAGAGCCAAAGGGAACAAATACCGATATTGATTTTGGAGACTTTTAGATTAATAGCAAGTATGAAGAACTTCTCAATAACAAATACTGTACATCTTATAATAAACATACTGACATCAGCCCCCCAAAATGGTGAAGTTTTTCCCTAATTCTGTTTTTCCTTTTTAGCTTTGAACAAAGGATGGGACAAAAGGCAGAAAAAGAGAAAAAAGAGAGAGAAGAGAAAAGGAAAAAAAGAAAAGAAGACAAAAAAAGGGGGGAGAATTCTCCCCCCTCCAGCTTCTCCAAAAGGGGACAATGCCCCCCCCTCTACTCTCCTCAGTTGCACCTGATGTAGCATGTGGGAACTCATATTCTTCCCTCTCTCATCCACATGACCCATCACCTTTCCCCCTCAGGACAGGTATAGGGTCTATGCTTGAGTGTTTTCTCATTTGTATTCTCGGTATCATTCCGTGGTTTTGAAGAGTGCCCTGAAATTTATGCATGTGCATATGGGAAACGCAGAATAGTTCCTCCATTTCCTCTATTTTGTTAAGTCTACACAACCATTCACTTCATTTTGAAATGCATGTTGATTGCCAATCTACTGGGAAACACAGTCATGCTCCATTTACCATGTGCATAGCAAGGGATTTAAATATTCACATTTAGGAAGAGTTGTGTGGTGGAGGAGATATTTGGTAGGGGTAAAATTCAGAGGGTAGGAAGTGACATAGAATATAATATTGTGAACAGTCTTCCAATATGGTTGTAGGAGCTCACAACATTACCATATATGAAGCATGGTACCTTCTTCATGTCCACATCCCCAGCAAAGACTGGAAGAGGTAGGATAGCATTTATGTAAGTGTGCCTGCGTTCTGTACCACTGTGATCTGATTTTGCCAGAATTTTCCTGAATCGCAACATTCAGAGGTCCTTCATGAATATATTCATTATTGGAATCCCAGTAATCGTCTGAAAGAGAAATGTGCATTTCTTCTTCCCAGCCTATTGAGACTCTGCCATTGGGCCCAGAAGAATCTTCTAAGAGCAATGTGTAAATAAGTGAAATCAAATTACATTGGGGTGTCCTCCACATGCAAAGGGATTCTAAAGGTGTAAGAGGCCTGATCCACTGTTGAGTTGAGGTTAATGACATCAAGAAGTTTTTGAGTTGTCTATGTGTCCAAAGGGGAAAATAACCCATGGAAGAAATCAACTCTAAGTGGGCAAAAGTTAAAAACTGTCCTCTAGAGAAAAAGTGATGGGCCAACATTTCACTATGAGGCCATTCCCTCATCAACAAGTTATGAGACAGGCCAGGAGGAAAGTCCGATTACACTGCACCATATTTAGGGGGCCTGGAACAGTGGAAAAAGAAGTGGACTTGCATGCCACTCTGAAACACAGTAAAGAGCCACCAATAAATGTAATTCCCAGATCAGGGTTTAGATTTGGGTGAGAAGTCTCAAATCCTGTGCCTGGGTCTTGCCAAGGATTGCAAGGCTGAGGATGCAGCCTGTTATAGTCTAGAACCAAACAGTAGACTGAGACGATTGAGACTCCATCATTCCACCCCCCCCCCCTGGAAGTTTGTGTGGTTGCAAGGAAGTAACCAGAGGGGTGCATGTCTGCACCAGAACAGATGGAGGCCCAAGCCTTGAGACCAGAGCAGCAGGAAGCTGTAAGAAAGAGAGAGCTGACAGAGGTAGTGTTTATGCATGAACATGGGGATGCCATGTTAGATGGTTTTGGAGGGCCAAGGCACAAGGCCCGAGTAGCAGCGTTGTTAGAGAAAGACAGAAGGCTGAATATTGAATTTCATGTTAATGGTGTGTAGCGCTACCCTCTAAAGAGCCGTTGGATTCTGGGTCCCCTTATTTCCTGCACAGCCACACAACATGCATTGTTGACAAACAAGAATCCAGTCTGCGGGCTTGTTTTTGTTGTTTTATGTAGGGGAAAACAACTTGGATAGGATTTAGGGGGTATGGGTTACTAGAAAGAACAGATTGCAAGGGAATCCCGGTGAGACGATTGGCAAATAGAAGTGCGCATGCCCAAAGAAATGCGTGATCGCGCACACACACACGCACGTGCACATGCACACGCACGGTGAAGATTGGCGCCAGACAGACTATTTAAAAGGTGCCTCTGCCTGTGCTGAGTGCTGACTGGTCTTCAGCTGTTCCCCGTTTCCTGCTCATTCCTGTGTGATTTCCTTGTTGCTGTTCCTTGTTTGTTCCTGATCTGACTCTGATTACTCTCCTGCTTGATACTTGTTACTGACTTTGGCTCTGCTCCTGACTGGATTGCTTATGACTTGGTACCTCGCTGTTCGTCCCCGTTGATGACCCTGGCTATTCCTATGACATTGCTCCTGTCTCCCATCCCAACTTCCTGTCTTACTCTGGTGCACACCTGGCGACCTACTAAACCAGCTCTGCATATCACTACTGCTCCTGAAGCGGAGGTTCATCAGTCTTCCAAAGCCTCCAGCTGCAAGAGCTGCAAACAACATCTGCTGGTGCTCTTGTCCCCCTGGTCCCTAGACACTCTCTGTTCCACTTCCAGTGGGGTCAGTGCTAGTGACACAAGTGAGGCCGACCTCGTCATTTCAGTCTCCAATCAGCTACGTGACAAGATTGAGGACAAACTTCCTGCGTTTATGTACAAAAGAGGATGGATCCTGAATATTACTCCAGAGTGATATCAGTCCCTTTAAGAATCAGTAGCAAAGTGGCTTCAGCAGCAATATGACTTAAGGAGCTCTAGGTCCCCTTGGGTGAACTCTGTTCCTTGTATCCAGTGGATTAGCATAGGCTTTGTTCAGGCCTTTAAGCTGTGCCAGGCTTCCATGCTGAGTGGAGTACTCTCTGGATAGGACGTGTGATAAAGTTCCCTCTGTCAAACATCTTCTCCTTCCTTCCTCCTCAGCTACAGCCTTGAGAGGGAGCTTCTCTTCCCTGGGGTCCCCTCCCAGGCCTCACGATCCTCAACATTCTATATTCCACCCAATTATTAGACTCCCCTGCTGGCTAGGCTCTCTCATATGTATGGGCCTGTCTGCCACACAGCCAGGTATCCTGTCTGGGATTGGTCAGACTCCCACGAATATCTAATTCTTGGTCTCCATCCCTCCACCCACTAACTTCAAGAATCTTCTGGAAGACTCCAGAACCAGGGGGAGGTGCCAGAGACCTGACCTGTAGAGCCCTCCAGCCTAACCTAAAGTAACCCAAACAGATATGCTCACTTCACTACTGTGAGCCAAACTAAATGTAAATCTCTAGCACCCCTAGAGGGCACTACAGGTGAAAACCCCTGCGAGGGAAGTCATTTGTTTTGTTGGACTTTTCTTTCTGTTTAAATAAAAGTGGGCCAACAAACCTTTAAAAGGCATATCTGGGATGGACTGTACTCACTCATGAGCACTACACTTGAGGTTTACACCCCCCAAACATCATATTCACACTATGCACTTAACTATTGAAACTAGACTTAGAATTATTGAATGTTACTATCATACAAGTACATGTTCTTATTAGAATGCCATAGCTGAGTAGGTTGGCCGAGTATATAGCAGACTCGATGGACCACTCTGCCTTTTTCTGTCATCACTTTTCTATGTTTCTATGTAGGTTAGAGATTGGGAAAAAAAATCTTAACTGCCATGACAAAAAATTTTTTTCAGACCTATATGTTCTGTTCCATGAAGTCTGGTGTCTGGTGGGCCTGGTCACACATGGAAATTATGGTAAAACGGGCAACAAACTAGCAGACTTTGTTAATTTATTTTCAGTCACCTATTCCTTATGACTAAAAAAGCTACACATTTATGTGAGCAGATCCCATCTTTTTATACCTCTTTGTGCACAAATATGTTTTATTTCAAAGACTTCTACAACTGCCCTTAAGGTAAAAAATGTGTAAATTTGATCCCCTGAGTAATATTTTTCTTGTTAAGCTGTCCACTTTCTTTTGGTCTTTAAACATGTGGATCTCTGGGAAACCCTGACAAGCGGTGCTTGGCTCTTAAAAATTTTAAGAGTAACCTACAAGTTCAACAAGTTTTAAACTATTGTGTACAGCAGGATGTCATCTAAAGGCAAGTTATAGAATGATGACTGTTGGTGAAATACTGTATAGTCACAAAGTACTGTTGTGGCTTGGCAGAAATCAAGAGAAAACTGTTAATGATTTTCTGCAGGCTGCTCTATCACTCCACTCTGGAAATGAACACTTTGATTATATTTTTTTTCTTTGTGGGGTGAAATCTGGGACTTATTAGAGAAGCTGTTCATTGATGAATGCTCTGACAGTTTAATTAAGAATTAAGAAAACCTACTATCAGTAACATTCCCTCATATACTTCTATCAAGCTGGAAATGCACCATGTATAGTGATTAAACTTGTGTACACCCAGGGGTGGAAGATTATTGAGATGTATAGTTTGCTTGAGGAAAAGGAACACACAGGAATCTACCCATCTATCTTCAGCTTTTTTCTTTGGGATAAAAGCTGACTGAATTTCAGTTTTAGTAGCTGATTAGCCTATGCTAATTTGGGGTTAAGAGAAAGGTAAATGGTCAATACACAATATTAATAATTGGCTAAGACTGTTGCAATACAGTACATTTTTTCTCTATGAAAAGATGTTTCAGCTGAAAAAAAGTTACTGCAGTTAGAGACTTTCTGGAATGTTTAAAGAGGTCCTGTATGATGTGCAATTAAAGATAGAGCAATGAAAAAGTTTCTCTCCACGTGGTAGAATGGAGTTAAAAGTTTGAAAGCATTAGTCCAGTGTAATTTCTCATTAAGATGAGCGAATTATTCAAAAATTCGATTCGGCTGATTCGGCTAATTCGCGGAATAAATTCGATTCGAGTCGAATATATTCGCTGCGAATTTAAACTTATAAAAAGGGTGTTTCTAGGCTTCAGAGAGCCTTTATATTAGTGCAGAACACTGTACCTTTAATTTAAATGCCCTTGGAGTCTGCTGGGGAAAGAGAAATAATACTGTCAGTCAGTATGACATGCAGATGAGTGCCGTCGATCTTAGAATCACCGCACACTTCACTCATTTGGGCAGTCACGGGGCCAAAACCAGAGTGTGGAGCCACAGTGTGGCGGTGGAGGCAGCAGCAATGGGAGGCCATACAGCACCCTATGACAAAATGGAACCCACCAGCAGTGTGAGGAGACCTGAAAGTGGCACATGGCAGAGTGTGGCGATGGAGACAGCAGCAATGGGAGGCCGTACAGGGACCCATGACACACTCTGGACCTGCAGCAGCATGAGGAGGCGGTACAGGGGCCCATGACAGATTACGGGGCCTGGCAGCAGCATGAGGAGTCGGTACGGGGGCCCATGGCAGATTACGGGCTGGCAGCAGCAATGGGAGGCCCGTAATCTGCCAGCACCCTATGACAAAATGGAACCCACCAGCAGTGTGAGGAGACCTGAAAGTGGCACATGGCAGAGTGTGGCGATGGAGACAGCAGCAATGGAGGCCGTACAGGGACCCATGACACACTCTGGACCTGGCAGCAGCATGAGGAGGCGGTACAGGGGCCCATGACAGATTACGGGCCTGGCAGCACATGAGGAGTCGGTACGGGGCCCATGGCAGATTACGGGCCTGGCAGCAGCAATGGAGGCCCGTAATCTGCCAGCACCCTATGACAAAATGGAACCCACCAGCAGTGTGAGGAGACCTGAAAGTGGCACATGGCAGAGTGTGGCGATGGAGACAGCAGCAATGGGAGGCCGTAAGGGGACCCATGACACACTCTGGACCTGGCAGCAGCATGAGGAGGCGGTACAGGGGCCCATGACAGATTACGGGCCTGGCAGCAGCATGAGGAGTCGGTACGGGGGCCCATGGCAGATTACGGGCCTGGCAGAGCAGCAATGGGAGGCCCGTAATCTGCCAGCACCCTATGACAAAATGGAACCCACCAGCAGTGTGAGGAGACCTGAAAGTGGCACATGTAAGAGTGTGGCGATGGAGACAGCAGCAATGGGAGGCCGTACAGGGACCCATGACACACTCTGGACCTGGCAGCAGCATGAGGAGGCGGTACAGGGGCCCATGACAGATTACGGGCCTGGCAGCAGCATGAGGAGTCGGTACGGGGGCCCCATGGCAGATTACGGGCCTGGCAGCAGCAATGGGAGGCCGTACAGGGACCCATGACACACTCTGGACCTGGCAGCAGCATGAGGAGGCGGTACAGGGGCCCATGACAGATTACGGCCTGGCAGCAGCATGAGGAGTCGGTACGGGGCCCCATGGCAGATTACGGGCCTGGCAGCAGCAATGGGAGGCCCGTAATCTGCCAGCACCCTATGACAAAATGGAACCCACCAGCAGTGTGAGGAGACCTGAAAGTGGCACATGGCAGAGTGTGGCGATGGAGACAGCAGCAATGGGAGGCCGTACAGGACCCATGACACACTCTGGACCTGGCAGCAGCATGAGGAGGCGGCACAGGGGCCCATGACAGATTACGGGCCTGGCAGCAGCATGAGGAGTCGGTACAGGGGCCCATGGCAGATTACGGGCCTTTGACTGGCTGATAGAGGGCGATTGACGTCGGGTGACGGAGCAAGTAACGGAGTGGGTGATGGAGCGGGGGCTGGGGCAGGCAGAACCGCCGTATCTTTATCACGGTTTTCCCAGGCCACCGAATGGCGACGCTGCATATGCTGACGCAACGCTGTAGTCCCAACATGGGCCCCCTGGCCACGCTTGACTTTCTGGCCACATAGTCGACATACGGCTACGTTTACTTCCTCGGGGCGGCTTGACGAAAAAATTGCCACGCCCGCCGAGTAGGAAAACTTTGCCCCCGCTACTCCTCACTGCTGACTGCTACTTCCTCCGTGCACACCGGCACCACTACTGGCCGTGGTGGTAGGCTGCAGTGGAGCTGGTGCTCTACTCCGTGGCAGTTTGCCTCCACTGACACTGCTGCGCGACCCTGCTGCCTCCTGGGCAACCCACCGACTGTTTTGCTCGCTGCCAAGCTGGCACCCTCTTCTCCTGATTATGCGGAAGCAATAGCCTGATGACGACGAGGCTGCCAAGTGCGATCAGCCTCATCATCATCAATTAGGGTCTCCGCCTCACTACTAGTCCCCTCGGCTGCGTGTGGGTCAGGAGACAGACCTGTCTCTAGACCGGCTACCGAGCCACTCTCCTCGCCAGTACTTCTTCGCCTGGCTGCTGAAGAGCGGATGTCTCCCCCCGTTCCTGACCGCCCTCTGTTAGCTCTTCCTCACTGTACAGTGGGGCTGAGCCCACAGCATGCGATACTTCGCTTGGTGAGGGAACACCAAAGGACAGGGGCAGGTAAGAGGACACGTGATTTCAGTGGGCTTGCTCCCGGGCCATGCCAACTAACGGTTGTGTCTGACGTACCCACCGACCGTTGGCTGTAGGTGTCAACGTTTCTGTGTCCCTGAGTAACGATTCTGTGTCCCTGAGTAACATTCTGTGTCTCCTGAGTAACAATTCTGTGTCCCTCAGTAACGATTCTGTGTCCCTGAGTAACGATTCTGTGTCCCTGAGTAACAATTCTGTGTCCCTGACTAACGATTCTGTGTCCCTGAGTAACGATTCTGTGTCCCTGAGTAACGATTCTGTGTCTCTCAGTAACGATTCTGTGTCCCTCAGTAACGATTCTGTGTCCCTGAGTAACAATTCTGTGTCCCTGAGTAACGATTCTGTGTCCCTGAGTAACGATTCTGTGTCCCTGAGTAACGATTCTATGTCCCTCAGTAACGATTCTGTGTCCCTGAGTAACAATTCTGTGTCCCTGAGTAACGATTCTGTGTCCCTGAGTAACGATTCTGTGTCCCTCAGTAACGATTCTGTGTCCCTGAGTAACAATTCTGTGTCCCTGAGTAACAATTCTGTGTCTGTCCCTGAGTAACAATTCTGTGTCCCTGAGTAACAATTCTGTGTCCCTGAGTAACAATTCTGTGTCCCTCAGTAACGATTCTGTGTCCCTCAGTAACGATTCTGTGTCCCTGAGTAACAATTCTGTGTCCCTCAGTAACAATTCTGTGTCCCTCAGTAATGATTCTGTGTCCCTGAGTAACAATTCTGTGTCCCTCAGTAACGATTCTGTGTCCCTCAGTAACGATTCTGTGTCCCTGAGTAACAATTCTGTGTCCCTGAGTAACAATTCTGTGTCCCTGAGTAACAATTCTGTGTCTGTCCTTGAGTAACAATTCTGTGTCCCTGAGTAACAATTCTGTGTCCCTGAGTAACAATTCTGTGTCCCTCAGTAACGATTCTGTGTCCCTCAGTAACGATTCTGTGTCCCTGAGTAACGATTCTGTGTCCCTGAGTAACAATTCTGTGTCCCTGAGTATCAATTTCTGTGTCTGTCCCTGAGTAACAATTCTGTGTCCCTGAGTAACAATTCTGTGTCCCTGAGTAACAATTCTGTGTCCCTCAGTAACGATTCTGTGTCCCTCAGTAACGATTCTGTGTCCCTGAGTAACGATTCTGTGTCCCTGAGTAACAATTCTGTGTCCCTGAGTAACAATTCTGTGTCCCTGAGTAACGATTCTGTGTCCCTAAGTAACGATTCTGTGTCCCTAAGTAACGATTCTGTGGCCCTAAAGTCTCTGTGGCCCTAACTCTGTCCCTAATACACAGAGGTCTGTCTCTCTTGAATGACCGGAGGCTAATGGAGAATTCTAAGATGGCCGCAATTTATAGCTCCACCATTACACAGTGCTGGCTGGCTGGCTGCTGATTGGCTAATGCGATCACATGTCATGAATGAATGCATTATGGGTCAGCGCGCCTTGTCTGCGCGCCTTCCCAGAGATCCCCGCTCCGTCGCCACACATGTCGCCGCCATTTTTGGGAAAATTCGATTCGTGCATCCGAAGTTTGCTAATTTTCGGATTCGGCGCGAATCGAATTTTTCCTGATCTTCGAAACGAATTCCACTTCGCCATGTTCGATTCGCTCATCTCTAATTCTCATGCATATGTGTGCAACAGAACCACAGTGTAACACAATCAGGGCTTGGATGCAATAGTAAGGTACATTTCAAAGTTCTAAGGAGATGACAATGTTAAACTTTGAAAAAAAAGCAGTTAATATGTATGTATAGCCAAATGTTTTTCATTTCAATTTGAGGGTTAGAGGGGAAAGGATTAGAACTCCTTTTTAATGCTACCTGGGGCTGTGTTAGAGAGATTCCCTCATGTACTGTCCTGTTGGCAACAGATTCACAGTTACATAGTTTATAAGGTTAAAAAAAAAGCACCGATCCATCCAATTTAACGTGTGTGTGTGTGTTTGTAATTTTTATTCTCTAACAATTCCCACAGACTGTATGTTCTGCTTCCTGAGACAGACATCTAACAGTTTTTCAAAGTTGTTGACAATCCCAGCTATTACCACTTCTTGAGGGAGGGAGTTCCACATATTTACTTCTCTATCAATGAAGAACCCTTTGCACAATCTAAGGTTAAACCTCTTTTATTCTAATCTTAAATAGTGGATGCATGTCCTATTCAAGGACCTTAGAGTAAACGATTTATTATGGTTACTAAAGTCACCTTTGATATATTTGTACATTCATATTCCCTCTTAAGCACCTCTTGTCCAGAGTGAATAACTGTAATCTATGTACTCAATCCTCATAGCTCAGGTCCTCAATCCCCCTTGTTTATTTTGTTGCCATTCACTGAACTATTTCTATTTCAACAACCTCTTTCCTGAGGATTGGTGACCAAAACTGCACAACAGAAGATCTGACAAGAATGGTCTTTCATAAATCCAAGCTGGTTGTCACTTACGACACCATTATTATATTATTGCAGACACTTTTCTGTATAGAGTCCCTTGCCATTCCTTCAAATATCTTATATACTATTAATGTTAGCATAATTGGTCTGTAGTTTCATAGTCTACATCTCAATCCTATAAAGTGGTACCACATTTTCTCTCCACCAATTTGGTATCATTCCAATCAGTAAGGTGTCTTTAACTCACTAGATAAGATGTAAGCAGGGGCGGACTGACCATTTGGAAACTTGGGCACTGCCCGAGGGCCCGGGGTCAGTAGGGGGCCCCATGAGATGCCCCTGGTAGCTTTTTCATAGGCTTTTTTGAGTTTGGGCAAGGACACAGGGGCCCCATGATCCCCTATTGCCTGGGGGCCCCATGAGTTGTCAGTCCACCCCTGGATGTAAGGGAAGGTCTCCAACAGCTACACAAACAGCAAATACGACAAATAAATAATTATAAATCAATCAATCAAATATTCTGTCTATGTAATTGTAGAAAATGTTTCCTCACTTCCGGTCTATTGAAATGATAGGAACAGTGAAGATTAATCTAGTTAACAGAAACTCAGATAGCAGTGAAAAACAGACATTGCTTCTACTCCTCCACTCTATTTAAAACTAAAACCTGAACAAACACCTTAGGTTAGGCATTGAGTAACAATAACCTAACTAGGAGTAACAGAGCTAAGCTACTTCTCCCTTCAAATGTATTTTAGAAGACTTTAGGCAGTGCCTATGTCAGACTTGTTGGGAGAGCCAAATGACAGGCTGAGCCAGTTGCCGCTCCAGACTCGGGATCATTCCCCAGCTTGGACTGGCTGAGTGACATCAGCTGACAGTGGCCTTCAGCCCAGGTCACAGGAGTGCATAACAAACTGCATTCCTGTGAGCCACAGGAGAAGTACAGCCAAAAGAGCTTTGGCTGTACTCCTTCTTTAACTTAGCTAGGTTTGCTAGCCATGTTCAGCTGGACTTGTTCTATAAATGTTTAAGACTTTTTTTTTTATTTATCCAAGAAACTTAATTGATTCAACATTACAGAATATGTCCAATTGAATGTGAATACCACTAGCTTTAGAAAAGTAAAATATGGACTAATAGGATGAAATTTGTATAAGCTAGTCAGAGACAAATTTGAAAAATAATGTGTTCAGGGCAACACATTCACCTTACACAGGGTAGTGGAATAGATAATTGATCACATCTCTTATGTTTTGTTTATTTTTTAGACACAAAATTAAAGGGCAGTAGCATGGGTACATTTTTTGTTTCAA